CGTGCACGGCCGCCCCGGGTACCGTGTGTGCCCGGAGAAGCCTCCATCGGCAGCTGCTCATGATGGCTCCGCACCCAGCTGCCTCCCTGTCCCCTGGGGGCCTCGGAACCTGCTCAAACAGGGCAGCACTTATTGAGCACCTGCTGCATGCCCCGCCCACCTGGGCCCACCTTGCTGGCTTCCCTCCTCTCGACACCCCACGCGCTGCCTCTGGTTCCAGGTGACTGAATGCCTGACCACCGTGAAGTCAGTCAACAAAACCGACAGCCAGACCCTCCTGGCCACTTTCGGAGTAAGCAGCGGCCACCCTGCCCCCACGGCTTTCCCAGAAATTTCCCACTCATCCCCTTCCCTCCCCCTGTCCACCCGCCCCTCCGCCCCCATCCCCTAGGCGCCTCCTCAGCTGGCAGAGGGCAGGTCTGTGCCCCCGGCCCTGACCCTCCTCCTGCCTCCCTCAGTCTCTGGAACAGCTCATAGCCGCTTCGCGGGATGACCTGGCCTTGTGCCCGGGCCTGGGGCCCCAGAAGGTGAGCCCCGGGAGAGAACTGGAGGGCTGGGGGGGGGGGGCGGATCAACAGGACCTCAGATCCCAGTGCTGCCTCAAATATGCTAGTTAAAGTTACTCAAGAGGCAGAGAAGAGAGGTCTCCTGCCCGCTGGGTCACTTCCCCAAATGCCCCCAGCGGTCAGGACGAGGCCAAGCCGTAGCCAGGAGCCCACGTGGGTGTCGGGGACCCCAGCACCTCAGCCATCAGGGTGTGCGTCAGCAGGAAGCCAGAACTGGATGCTGGCCCCCAAGCGGTGCCACAGCACCCGCCCAGTTCCAGGAGGATGGGGAAACTGAGGCCCAAGAGGGTGGGGGCAGCCCCCAGCCTCACACAGCTGGCCTGAGGGCGGGTCCAGGTGGAGCCCCCTCAAAGATGGCGAAAAAAAAAAGATCCAAACCCACTCGCGCTGCCAGCACGCAGGCATTTAATGGCCCCGCCCCCCACAGGCGCGGCGGCTGTACGACGTCCTGCACGAGCCCTTCCTGCGCGCGCCGCGTTGAGCCTGCCGCCCGGAGGCCCCGGGGTTCCAATAAACGCGGTCCAGGCCCAGGCTGTGCGAGTGTGCGCCGTGGGTGCGGGCGGGCGCCCTGGCTTCTCCTCACTGCGCGCTTGTCCCCAGGGTCCAACAGCTTCCGCTTCCGCTTCCTCTCCCGCCCTCTCGGGGGCGCCACCCCCGCGGGCGCCGTCTCCAGCGCCCCACTCTCCGGGGCCGGCCGCTGCTGCTCCGTGGGAGATCCCAGCGCCGCCGACTCTGCCGCCTCGGGCCCCGGGTCGCCTGGCAGCTCGGGCTGCACCGCCCCCAGCCCCGGATCTGGCCCCCTTTCTCTCTTCTTCTTCTTCTTCCGGGTGGATGGCAGGGCTGCCTCTGCGGGAGGCCCCTCCGCACCTGCCATCTCCCCCCAGCGCTCCAGAGAGCACGGCTCCGGCTCCGGCTCCACGGCCTCGGGGCCCGGCTCCGCTCCACGCTTTGCCTCTTCTCTTTTTTCCTCCTCTTCCTGGGGGGCAGTGGGCTGGGGTCGTCCAGCATCGCAGGGCCAGCTCCCGCCCCCTCGGCGGGCCCCGCCTCCCCAGGCTCCTCCGGGCCCAGAGGCTCGGCCTCCACGGGCGCCTCCTCTCTGAGCCGCTTCCTCTTCTTCCTCTTGCTGCTGGAAGGGAGCGGCGGCTCCAGCGCCTCCGACACCGCAGCGGCCGGCTCTGCTGCCTCGGGTCCCCTCGCGTCCGTCTCGGGGCGGCCGGAAGCTGTGTCGCCCTCCAAGGCCCCGAGCCCGTTCACTGCCTCCTGCGTGCCGGGAGCCGCTGGCTTCTGCCTCCTCTTCTTCCTCCTCTCCGAGGTGGGAGACTCCAATGCCAAGGCTGCCCCTGGGCCCGGGACGGGCGGGCTGCCCCCAAAGGCACAGAACCGCGGCCTCAGGCCCGGGGGAACCTGCGGCGGGGGACTCGCCGGGATTGGCTGCAGAGGGGCCCCTGGCCGCGACCCCTGAGGCCCCTCCAGGATCCTCAGGCTGCCCAGGGGAGCCGGGGCGCAGGTGAGTCCGCCGCCTGCCTCTGCCGAGGGAGCCAGCAGGGTCGCTCCTCCAGCGCGGGGGCCCCGACTGCTGAGCACCCGATAGCGCTGCCGCTTGCCGGCCAGCTTGCCCTTCACAGTCCCGGAGCCGGAGAGGGGCACCGGGCGCCCGTTGAGGCTGGGGGAGAAGCGGGGGCAGAGGCTTGGTCAGATCCCTTAGCTGCGCGGGGGGAAAGCAGCTCAGAGGCAGCATTTCGGGGAAGAGGGGTTCGAATCCCATCCCCCAGGCTCAGCACTCACCTGGCCGGGGCAAAGTCTGCAGGGGCCTGGATGAGCCACACCTCCACATCCGGGCCGGCCAGCGACTCCAACGAGAAGCGGGGAGGCTCTGGGGCTGGGGGCGTCGCTGTGAAATTGGGGGGACAAGAGAACCGAGCGGCACCTGCAGGAGAAAAGGGGTTGGGGTCTCTGACACCCTGCCGGCTGACCCCTTCGGGGCGCCTCTCGGGTCCCAACGTGTCGCGCGCGCAAAGCCCCACCCTCGGTGTCTCCCGGCTGTCACGCAGGGGCCGCCCCGCTCCCAGCGGCCCGAGTCCGGGAGGGTGGGCGGCCTACAAGCAGCTCTGGTCCGTCCTCCCGCTCCCCGGGGTAGGGCAGAGAGCGGCCCCTGCAGGAACAAGGAGGCCCCTCGTCCGCCCCGGCCTCCCAGCCCACCCGCGCTCCCCGCCGGCCGGTCCGCTCACCGCCGGGCTGTGAGCCCTCCATCCCAGCGCCCACCGCCCGCGCAGACCCTGGCGGAGCGAGGTGCGCAGCGCCGCCGTCGGCCACGTGGATCCGCGGGGGCGGGTCCTCCTCCGGGAGCGCCCGAATGGTGCGCGGGCGCGGGGGGAGCCGCTCACCGCTGCACCCCTCGGTGGGCGGAACGGGGGGAAATTGCCACCTGTGCCGAACAGGAGAACGAGGCCGAGTTTCTTCCCGAACTTCTGCTCTCGAAAGCAACTTGTGTGCTGCTTGTCAGGAAGAAGCCGCACCGTGTCTCGGCGGGCCTCCCCCACCATCTCCCAGCTATGGTTCGTTCCAGCACCGCCTTAAAGGGGCAGTCGCAAGGCTAGACCCTGACCCTTAAAGAGACAGGAAGGTCGTTTGGTCTGAAATTCTTAGAGACAGGTAAGAACCCTGGCTAGCGTTTGGGTGTTCCGGTTCCCTTCTGGGGAGGCCTGGATGCCTAGGAAGTTCAGCACTTGAGTGGGAGAGGGGGACAATAAAGGGACGGGGGAGCGGGAAATGCGGGGGGCGGAGCCTGGGGTCGGGGGCGGAGCCTCGGGCCCGGGAGCAGGACACGCGTGGGCTGGGCGGGCTCAGGGGCGGGGCTTGTGGATTAAATGACACTTGCAGATGCCCTCGAGGGTCTGGTGTCGCGCGTGGTTCACATTCCCAGGCGTTTTCGGGAAGGGAAGGCAGAAAGAAGTCCAAATCGGCGGCATCTCCGCGTCGTCCCGGGGCGAGTGTAGACAGCAGCACGAGGACGTGGACTTGGGGGACGCCCCCACGCCCCTTCCCACGAGGACCTCACCGCGTGGGGCGGCGGCTGGAGCCGCGAGACGGCGGCTAGACAGGGTGACCCGACCGCATTCCTGGCGGCTGTGTCAGCGCCGCTTCCCGCCCCGTCTGCCAAGATTCTAGGTCGTATTCCAGCACCGAGGCGCCCCTCTTCTCCCCAGCAGGGAGCCGCTTCCCGGAGCGGCGAGAGGGGCCCGTGCGAGGGCAGGCCGTCTCTGCGCCCGGGATCTCCGGTTTGCCTCGAGTGGGTAGCAAAGGCTCCGGGGCGCCGCCCCTGCGGGCTCTGGGACTACAATTCCCAGAGGGCCCGAGGCGGGGAGACGCCGGATGTTGGCCGCGGAGGCTGCTGGGGGTTGTAGTCCAGCCCCGACTGGGCGCTCGGTGGGCGGGCTGGTCAAGCCCTGACTTGCCCCCTTTTTTGTCCCGATGAGATTGAGGCTGCGAGTCCCCGGCAAAACTCATTTATCGAGGCTCTCTCGCGCTGGGGACGCGGTGCCTGAGTGCCTCCCACCCCAGCCTCCTGCAGCCGCAGGGAGGCAGAAGCACTTCGGCTACCTCCCCCAGGTCGGGTCGTGCGCAGCTTCTGGGCGCGAAGTGGACTCTGCTGGGTCCGCGTCCCACCGCTCCGGGACTACAAGTCCCAGGGTGCTCGCGGCTCCCCGCCCCACCACGGCCCGCCTCCCTCCAGCCCGAGTCACGTCGTCTAACCTGTTCCCGGCGCCTGCCCCGCCCCGTCCTGCGCTCCCCGCAGCCGGAGCCGCAGCCGCAGGGAGCCCCCCGGTGCCAGGACCTGCCCCGGACCCGTGAGTCCCACCCTCCTGGGGTCCAGCGGCCCCAGGAGGAGCCCGACGCCCGCGTGCCGGGGAGGACCGGGAGGGCACTCGGTGCCGAGTCCCAGGGCGGAATTCGGGGTGCGCAGATGGCGGGGTGCCTGGAAGTCGGATGCCGGATCGACCGGGCTGAAAGAAAAGGGTCTCGGATGCCCGAGCTGTTGGGATGGAGGGCTCGGACGCGTCGGAGCTGACTCCGGAGCCCCTCGAACTGGGGGCTCTCGGAAGTCTGGGTGCTCTGGGTAGGACCGGGGTCTCGGATCCTCGCGTCTGGGACAGAAACGGGAGGCGGGGACTGGCGGCGACCTAGCGCGGTGGCCACCCCCGCGGTGCGGGTGGGCCGGGGACAGCGGGACGAGCTCGTGGGGTGGCCCCCGGAGGCCGCGTCGCCGCGCACCCCCACGGCCAGGCTCCGTGGCGGGGGCGGGGGCAGCTCTCCAACCTCCTGTGTGCCGCTGAGCGAACCCCAACGTGTCATTAACCGAGGCGTCGGACCTGCCCGACCGGGGGAGGGGCATCCGCCCCCTGGCGGAGGTGGGGGCCTCCTGTCGTCGCGGGGCGGGGGGGTAGGGTGGGACAATGTGGGACTTGCCGAGGTCGTCCTGGGACCCGGGGGGGGGGGCAGAATTGAGGGAGGCGGCGAGGGAATCTGACAGCAAGCGAGGAAGGGGTAAACTGAGGCTTGGCGGCCGCGCTTGTCTGGCCGGCCCCCTGCGGGGCTCCACGCCCCGACCCTGCGGTGAGAAATGTCACCTCCACCCCGGGCTGTGTGACCTGAGCTGTTGCGGGAGATAAGAGAGGATCAGGCTAATCCTGGAGCTGTCCGTCTGTCCTTGAGCCGGGGGCGGGGCCGCCGCTGTCTGTCTCCCTTGCTGCCCGCCCCTCCCTGTGCCCTGTCGGGGGGTTAACGAGGGAGTTGGCGGGGGGAGTTTCCCAATGCCTGGGCTTGGGCATGGCCTCAGATGAAATAAAAATAACCGTGTCTGCCAAAACCAGGCTGCGGTCCCAGCCGGCTGGGGTCTGGCAGGTAGACAGGACGGGACTGCTCAGAGGTCTCGCTCCCCATGAGCCTTGCTGACCCCAGCGCGGTTGGGGGAACTCGTCCCTGCCAGGGGGAAACTGAGGCTGGAGAGTGGACCCTGCTTCTCCGCTGGGGTCTCCCAGCCCTCCGCCTGCCTGCACCCCCCCTTGCTGGGTGTGACGTCTAGGGGAATGTAGGGCTTGGAGGGTCCCGGCCCCCCGGGTTGGCAGGACCACGGCTTTGGGCCCTGGTCGTGTGCCTGGCGCTGTTATCTTAACGAGCAGGCCAAGGCGGCCAGTAATTAAGAATCGTACAGATGCGAACTTGATCTGGCGCTCCGCACCGCTCTAATCAGTGGCTGAGCGCTCCCACCCCTTCGCGGTAAAGGTTTGATTCCCCGCCCCCTTCCCCTCCTTTAGACGCTGGAAGGGACCCAGGCTCCGGGGAGCGGGCGTCGGGGCCCGGCGCGTGCCGCGGACGTCCACGCCGGGGGGTCCCGCGCCCGCAGGGCTGCAGTGGTCCAGCCCGAGTGCCCCTAGGATGCCTGGGCCGGCAAGCCCACAGGGTCCTTAACCCCGAAGAACCCGACTGCGGTGCGGAGCGGGCCGGTCGGGAGAGCCAGGGGTGGAGCGAAG